TGTATGACTCCATGCTGCAAATTACTCGGAAGCCGAATAGGGAACCAGATGGGCTAAACACAGTGCTCGCTAGTTGGCTGACAGTAATAGAATATGACTTCTAAATATCTTTGTGACAGTGGACAAGATAAGACTCCTTTTAATGTGATTGATATTCTTAAATGGGTTGCTGTAACAGTATCAAGAATGCAAACAGAAATAGCCTAACAAGGGGCCAGCCAGTTTATGCATTAAAAAACAAAGTAGTATGACTGACCACAGTAAACCACACTAGTGAAAAATAATCATTCCTAATAAATTTGCATCAACACACAAAACTGAATAAGCTTTTTTTTGCTGTAGTATGGCATCATTCATCACAACTTTCATCTAGTTAGAAATCTTTAATTTGACGTACTGATTTGAAAATTAGCCATTGTGCCAATTGAGTTAAAAAGTCAGCACATGTGGTGGGTGTTCAGGCCAAAGCATCTTATGATCCAAATGCAATTCTAATACCAATAGGATCCCCCCCCCCCCTCAAAAAAACCAAAAACAACAGCAACAAAAAACCCAAAACACTGTACCAACTGAAACTAGCCCTGCACACCAAAGGTGCGTTTAAAACCAGTGGAACAATTCCCAACACTGGGCTAAATGCTGCCTGGACAAAAGCTGGGAACTATTTTGAAGCTGATTTGATAAAGATAAAAGTCGTTTTATTCAAAAACTGATTTTGAGACTCGTTTTCCAAAGGGCCACAATGTAAAAATACAGGCAAACCATCTCTGCAACACCATCATATTAGGTGTGTATTAATGTTATAGCAGCTAGTACTAGAATTTACCAGTAACATTAAGTCAAACAGGCAATTCAGTAAAAGACTACTGATTTTTATTCCAAGTATATCTGGTACTGCACCCAGAGCTCATACAACACTAGATGATTATTTTGACATTTGTGGTTAAGAATGTTTCCTTAGATGAGACGCTGTTTAAAAACGCCAACGTGAGGCCACCATCTCCGAGTGATACTGAAAATGGTGTAAAGTTAAGGATGCTACATACAAGCAAAGCCTTAACACAGGGCTGCTCTCTCATGAGTGGGACCCTTTGTCCTTAGAGCAAAGCTGTTTAGTATTAGTATCAGCAGCCAGATAGCACTGGTGATGGAAGCAATGGAGCCCCAACTAATATAGTCCACCTCAGAAAGGCTCTCTTTATATGTATGAAGTATGCTGTGTTGCATCAGGCAAATCAATGTGTTTAACAGTTTAGACCTTCTCTCTCTCCCTCTTTCTTTTTTTACCGTAATGTTACCAATTAAGACGGGAATTTGGTATTAATGTTTAAATAACTTATGTAATCAAACTGATCTTTACTCTCAGCCTTGAGTCAAACAGAGTGAGGTAGTCAGAAAGAGACAGACCAACTTGCGCATCTTCATTTCACTAAAATGACTGTAGCTAATGCAAAACAGTAGATAGTTTACAGACTGACATAAGGCTGGTTGGTCAGTTATGACTGCAAAGGCTGATCTTCAAGGACTTGGGACTATCCTACACTTAAAAGACAATGACAATATGCACAACATCCTGCTCTTACAGGTTTAACATTGTGCCACTTGCATAAAACAAACAGAAAAAAAATTAAGACTAATTACTAGCTCAATCACGAGTACAGGCTTAACTGACAGTTATCAACGGCAGCCACATAGTTACATCGTTAATGTCCAGCAGGCTCTTGAGTGGAAAGATTAAATCTAATACTGGATTCTTGGACTAAAAGAGATTGTAGACAACAAAAAAAAGATTTGAGGACACAAGCTGAGACCACTACCATTAGACTTCTGTTAGACTGACCCGGAGCAAGGCTTTAAGGCTGGAGCTGATGAACCGGATTTGCACAGTCCAGTGTGACAGCTGCTCCACATCAAGCCTGTGAAAGCACAAAAATGTGTCCAGTGTGACCCTGCTGAGTGCTACACAAATATCCTGAATTGACACTCGGCCAAACATGGACTGGGGTGTGGCCTCCACACCTAGAAGCCAAAGATGACGGCCTCTACAATTCAATGAGTTAATCAGTGGCAGGACAAGGCCTCTTCCTTATCAGGAGAGGCCTTGGAAAACGTTCAGCTGACTATTGGAATTCTGTTGCCTAAAAACACCCACATGGTACACACAGAAGAGGATGGGGTGAAAAGCCAAAAGTATTACAGCTAGAGACCAGTATGACGACCTAATCACCTTTTTGTGACAGAGGTTAGTTCAGGCTGCAGACACTCTAAATCCAAGGGACCAGCATAAAGATGGATGAGTAGACAAAGCCTTTAAAATGCTCAGTTGGTAACATCCTGCCACTGGATAACATCCAGGACTGCGGCATTCAAATTCCAACTTTCAAGGGCCAGGCCAAGGCAGCAACATTGACTGCGTGAAGGTGGTAAATCTCTCATCAGGTCCTGGACAATTGAGAGGCTCATCCATCACTCTGAAAAATCTCAGTAAGCGGTACAGTGCACGATGAAGTTATTTTCACACTACAGCAGAGATGGTGAGGACAAAAGCGATGAGACAACCCAACCCTGAAAAATCCCCCCATCATAAGAAGCCAGAACCCTGCTACAGAGATGACTGTGGTGAGGTCAAGTAAACAAGAAGGCAGTTCTCAGTTGAAAAAAAAAAAAAAAGTTCAAACACTACATGAAGCACCGGATCACCCACCTCTCACACTGTGACACAGTAAGAGAGGGAGGTCTTGTTGAGCTCCAGCAGTGCAATCAGTGCAGATTCTCTGAGGCTCTTTTCTCAGTTCTGTTGTGGCTCTGTCAAATTTCTGTAGTAAGTATGTCAGCTCACCATGACACTTAAGCTAAATTCTGCTAGTATATTTGGCTAAATTTGTTTGACAAAAGAGCTTGCAGCAACTGCAGCCCAAGTTACACAAGCATCAGATATTTTCCAAATGAAAACTAGGCAAATTAATGGGAACGATCTTGATGAGGACAGCATTCCAAAACAACCATGTAACATTTAAAAAGCGCTTTCAAAAGAGTTTACTCAGCACAGTCCACACTGAAATAAAGAAATGTGCTCAGTGACATGCTCCTCCACAGGTCACATAACTTAAGATTATATACAATCATTACTTAAATTCCCAGAGGTAATGCCAATTAATCTCATTTCAGTAGTCAATCTCATTTTGAGATTCTGGGCTCACTAAAGCTCAACAAAGCAAGTAAGACATCAAAGTGGAGCTTGCCTCCGTGTGTGTGTGAGGGTAACTCAGTGAATGACAGGAGCATGTTCCCCTTTATCGCAAGTTTCCTGAGGGGGAAACATTTAAAGCTTAGACTAATGCACAACTACTGAGGTGAGTCACAAAAGAGGAAAAAAACTGGATAAAAGAGGATGAAAGAAACTGAGGGGGGGGGGGAGATCTACAAAAATCATGCCAATTCTTACATTCAATTCCACAAAAATTAACAATTGGTCCTATGGGCAAAGCAGCCAAGAAATGATTCAGATGAAATATGGACACTGCTCGGGGCAACATTCATCCTGACTTTCTTTCCCCGTTTTACAGTCCTTTTCTGTTGAGACAAACTGTATTACGTTTATTTCTGTAGCCTTTATAGCTGTGCACTTACAGTATAGTACCCCATGGTCATCAACTAGTGTGGAACAATGAATGAGAACATGAATAGTTTTCTTTAAATTTCAAACCTGCATACCCAGTGGGCACGAAAGTCAGACATTTTATATTCTTCAAAGACATAAATAACATATTTTATGCATTATGAGGAATGGAAAAGTAAAATCTAAGGTTCGAAAATTACAACAGAAAAAGGAAGACGAGAAAACAAAAACCCCAAAATAAAATGTTGCCATATGTGTTCGATTTTTCTAAGTGTCTTTTACAGAAGTACGTGACTTTCCCAGTCACTAATGCATGTATTTAATATTTAATTGTGTAAACTGAAAGAAAAAAAAACCCATTTCCTATTAATTTCTTGGATGGATCTCATCCATCTGGTGAAAAGCTTGAGATTTCTTGACAAGACAGCTGGCAGTAGAAATTAGTGAAAAAGTTGAATAATTCCTCGTCTCATATGCAAATTTAATAGAATTTATATTTAGCTCAGTGTTTCCTAATCTGACTTTCTCTCTCCCTCTAGGCCTCTCCCCTCCTGCTGTGATAAGAAGTCTTTTCAAGACTCTGCTCAAATCTCTTTTTCAGGGAAAACGGCACCCATTCCCCTGACAGAACCGTCAACTTGTCTGCCAAAGCTGACTGCAAAGTAAAACTAAATGATAAAACAACAAAATAAAATAAAAAACTCAAACAAAAACAACCCCCACCCCCAATAATAAACTACAAAATTTGGCATGTTGCATGTTATTGCCCCTAATTTCATTCCACCTATATCACAAAGCAAAGCAGACCTTGCCCACAAAAGCAATTTACTGTGATGAGGAAGACTTGACCACAGGTTTATATTACTAGTCCATAAAAGAAACCTTTACAGCTTTTATCTCTTATTGTGACTTCTCAAAAGTCACATTGATGATGTCCATTTACAATAATTGTCTCTTTGTAGGCGTTTTCTCTACTATTAGAGGGCTCTAACCCTACAATATAAAGTGCCTTAAAGCAACTGTTGCTGTGATTTGGTGCTATAGAAATGCATTTAATTGAATAATTCATGATTTTAAAAATAGCAGAAACATTTAACCATAAAGGTTATGCCATCAAATGTAAATACCAAGCATATAATCACATGATAGTGGTGAACTTTGGATATTGAGCTACATCCCAAACTACCTGATGTGTTAGATTTTGTTTCCTTCTATAATAGCCCACTACTGCCAAGATTTCGCTTTATTGGCACTTTTACTCAACAGTGCCAGTAATGGATAAAAACAAAACCTTAGGGCAAGAATACACCTTACAGAGTTGCATAATTATGAGCAAAACAGACAAATCTTAACATTTAATGCTCAAATACTTGTCACTGACCTTGAGGACATCTCCACGTTTGAAACTAAGCTCATCATCAGCAGTAGCTTTGAAATCGTATTTGGCAATGGCCTCCATGGTCCTTATAGCGTGCTGTAAAACTGCTTATCTGCAGCCGTTTCAGTGACTGAAGAGAAAAAAAAAAAAAACTAAAAAATGTATCCAGGCTTCTGTGATCAAATACTTTCTCTGCTTCTCTCCTCCAGTCAATGACCCGTTCCCTTAGGTTTGAGACCTCACATAAAGGTGGCAGAAAGGTACCTGCAAAAAAACAAACCAAAAAACCCCAACGTGAACAAATATAACTAAACAGGCAAATGTTAACCCACGATGCAAAATTAAAATAGTCTATATTGCATTTTTAGTCTTTAAATTTTCACTAAAAATGCATACTGGACATACGATTCAACTTTATTCCCATTTGACTTCTGAACAGCCTCCAAAACACAGCACAATTTCATGACCAGTGGCAAAGCTCTAACCAGAAATTATCAGAGGATAAGGGAACAAAGTTCACTCTATCGAGTGTCAATTTCAACAGACCTTCCAGACAACCAACCACCTGGCCCGATCAAAGATAAGACGGTGGTTACTTAAGTAGAGATGACAGTGATACGCTGGCTAAACCTACGGCTATTTAGTTAAACAGATAAAGTTAAGCTATCTAATTAGTTTGCTGCTAATATGCTACCGTACAGCCCTGATGGGCTTTCGCTAATACAACCATGCGTCTAATAAGGCCTTTAAACCTGACAGTCCACCAGATGACCACAGAGGAACACCAAACGGATGAGAAATCATTTTTCCTCTTTTGAAAATCTGCATTTCCTTTTTATTTTTGAGAACTTAACTATTAGGCAATAACAAACGACACATGACATATTTTTCGAGAGAAAACGAGTTGCCGTCACCGGCATCATCAAGTCCAAAACGTTACTACATTCGCTTTCGTTTGTGTCTTTTAAAATAACAAAACGCCAAACAACTCATCGCTAGTGAGCGTTACCGAAAACAAAAGAACAAAAGGGATCGTCGCTGTCAGAGGTGGCATTAGGCTTAGTATTAAAAAGGGAAGCTTGAAGTCCAAAGGCAGACTGTAGCTAACCTTAAACATGACAACCTTCTCACACGCCCATATTATTGTGAAAATTATGTGGAATTTTTTTTTCATTTCAAAAAGGACATGGAGAGCAACAGAGTATGGTTTTATACCTCTTTTTTTTTTCTTTTAGTCGCGCTCGAGTGAATCGATTCCGTTCCAGCCAACAGACTGCGCCCACTGTTCTAGAACGCTACAGCTAGCATACCGGCTAACGGTCGGACAACAATAACTGCGATGCAGTATGGTTATCAAACCCGAACCTCAATTCTTCCGCACCGGACCATCTGACATCGACATCACTTAAAGCTCGTGGCTGGTCTGAAATAAGTGTGGGGTGTTTCTTAGCACCCGAGGCCTAGTCGCTAGTTTAACGCTAGCATATGTGGAAAGGAAGAAAACATCTTTTTTTTTTTTTTTAAACATAGCGCAAGCTGTTATTGCTACTGCTAGCCCAGCTAACGTTACTGAACTTCACTAAAACAGCGTCATGAAATAAAGCAGTACACAACTTTTGAGTTGACAAAACGCGTACTGAAAACTCACCACTATAGATATTCCGTTTCGATAGTGTCACTGTATAAAAAAACCCAGCAAAACTCTGTCGTGTAATTATCCACTCCCTGCTTCCTCTAGAGGCAACCAGCAAGGTACGTGTGGTGTCGCTTACACCCGTCCTAGAAGCCTAAAAAACTAGCCACTAGCATAAGGTTTATGACGCTCATTTCCGCTTCCTTCCAAAGAACTGGGAGGATCTGCCTCCGTGTACGTAAGCTCCTCCCTGCTAGTCTTTTTCAGTGTTAAGGAAAATTCATTTTCGCAGAGACATACTAGTTGTTAAGATTCACTCACTCTAAATCGTTCAATTTCTTTTTTTTATCAACAGCTAAATAGCACCTATTTGTACCACGTGACTAAGGCACTGAGATCAGTTTAGCCAAGATAACTTTTAAATAATCCGGCTTAACTAAACCTAACGTCAGCAATTACACCAGCTAATCACGTGAAAATGGCACTCTGAAAGGTTATCCAAGAGGCAGTGACACCACAGCATGGGCAGAACCAAACTGTTTTCATAATCCTCAAAAGAAGAACAAACTATAACACGGAGAGAAAAAGAGGAAATAAAATATGTAATCCAAGATGAAAAGAAACTCAGCTGCAATTAAAGAAAGGAAAGCTGGCAAAAGATGACAACTGTGCAAGCCAGTATTATCACTAACATCACTACCTGTGAACAGATCGGACTTAATGGATTCAGCCGCTTCTACTGAAAGAAAAGCTATAGGAAATGTCAGTAAACTTGTCCACAAGGAATCCATGTGACTACCTGATAGCCAGGCTGCAGTTTGTGAGATTAGGCAGAGCTTTGTCTGATTTGGTGACGGTATAGTAGCTCTACAGGAGACTCTGCTGTCTCCATTTCCGATGGCTCTTTCCTGTTGAAGCTGAGATCCTTCAATGTATGCAGCAAAAATGATGACCACCTTCTCTAACACTGATTCAGCTCCACTGCCACATGCCATCACAATATATCTGACAGAGAGGCACCTACCAGATAATATTATCATTATCATTAATATATTATTATTCACCATCTCAGTTGTGTAACAAATGAATACTCCCAAAACGGGATAAAGATTTATCATCATCATCATGTCTTGTCATATGTTTATCCTTATTCTTTGAACTAAAATCTTGTGGTGTCTAATGATCGTGAGATGCCAAAAAATCATAATTGTGGTGAATAGAAGGCATTTAAGGTCAACAAGCCTGCAATACTTTAGGACTCTCATGTAGAATTGATTGGTTATAAAAAGCTTGCAGGCAGCAAAAAAATAAAACAAGCGATAAAGTCCCTTATTATTGATCCTAATGGAAAGCTAGAAATTTGAGACCATCTCACTGTCAACTCATTGATCTGTGGGCTCTTCTGGGAATAACTACAGTGTTTTCAGAGAGACCTGATTGGTCAGTAGGCTTTGGATTTGTAAGTGTTGATCTGTTATCTTGAACATAACCTGCTCCAATGAGTGAATGACCTTTATGGCCCTGAAAACTTGTGATGTTGTCTCACGTTGTCTCGAGTCTCTCTTTCAGTCACAGGCAAGCTGCAGGATGGCTATGCATTAATTCATTCACAAACTTTCATTGAGATTTTCAGCTGTGTGTCCTGGCTTAACCTTATAGCTTGGTCATCTTCTAGTTACTTTAAACCGCCTACCTGATTGTCAACACCATATCTGACAAGACAAAAGGACTGCCAAATATGTAAAGGCAGAGAAGTGAACATGTTCACTGTAAACGAAACATTTACCAACGCCACACCCTAGTTCGTTCCCCCTTGCCACAAAACTGTCACCCATATCTATCATTATCCTACAAACTACAATTAACTACTATCACTGTTAACTATAGCCACATACATAACACATTTCTCACTTAGATGCATTTATGTCCATCTGATTCAGTCTGAAATGGGAAATTAAGAACACAGATTCATGCATTTTAGCTGCAGTGTAATAAATTAGTCTACTAGGTTAAAGTGGGACACATTAGAGAACGCAGGAATGCAAATTTCTCAATATTATGTTCAAGGATCCATATGGCTTCGACCATAAAATACGATATGTATAAACGCCATCTCATAAAGCTTTACTTGGTTAATTGCTGGAATATTTGGTCTTCTGGTTTCCTGTTTTCATTTCTTGCACACCTGCTTTTAATCCTGGTCTTTGACAGCAGAGGTATTAAAACCTTGACAATGCTGCCACCTAGTGGGAATAAACAAAAATGGGTTCTTTCTGTCTTTAACCACGCAAGGGTTGCTACCAGAACTACTGGTATGTTAATACCGCACAGTTGAGATAAGAAATGTGCATATGTTTTCCAAATATTACACAGCAAACAATATGGAGAGTGACACTGTTCAGTTGGACAATTAATTAGACTGTTTATAACAGATAACCTTTTGTGTGACCTCCATCATAACGGCATTGTGAATGATAAAGCTATTTGGTCGGACGGCTAACGCTTTTTAAAAGAAAATAAGGTGGAATGAAGCGAGGATATCGTCCATTAGGTATTCACTCAAGAATGACTTCCAGTATCACTCACACTGGCGGCGGAAAGTATAGCTCACAGGGTCTCCGAGTTGCGGAGTACTTTATCTCGCTGTTGCCAAATACCAGACTCAGAGCTGACGCGAGCGCGCGCGTTTTATCTGTCGCGTGCCTGCTGAAGTGTCTTGGACGACAAAAACATGCGCGCGCGGCTGAACCTCTGCTATCAAAGCCATAAAGCAACAGTTTAAGCTGGATTTTTGTATGCATATGTATATTTAAAATATGCGTATTTTCTCAAGCTCATCTATCTTCTTTGCCTTAAACTGATATATAAGTTATTTTAGAGTATATTCGTATTATTCTTCGAGGTTGGATGGAGGACTACATTATGAATTCATCTTCTTCGTACCTCAGCTCACCTGACAATCTGGAAAAAGGTAAGCTTTTCTTCTTCTCGTTTTTCTGTTGAATTGGGCACATGCATAGAGATTTATCACCAGAGATGAAATATTATGTTGTTCATTTTCATGCAAAAAGTAGTTATTGAGACTTTGAAAACAAATGAATGAAAAAAAGTTATAAGGAAAGAAAGCTGATGGAGAACATTCTGTTTTTGTCCTTTCTACCAGATCATGAGCAGTACAACAATGTGCTCATGCCCAGCATCTTTGGTGTTATTTGTTTCTTTGGGATCACTGGGAACTGCATTCTCATTTACACCATTGTGAAGAAGACCAAGTTCTGCTCTCATCCATCAGTGCCAGACATATTTATCTTCAGCTTGTCCATCGCAGACCTCCTCTTTCTCCTTGGCATGCCTTTTCTCATTCACCAGCTTGTGGGCAATGGCTCCTGGTGCTTCGGTGGCACCATGTGCACTGTCATCACAGCGCTTGATTCCAACAGCCAGATCGTCAGCACGTACATTCTGACTGTCATGACTCTGGACCGCTACTTGGCAACAGTCCACCCCATCCGCTTCAAACACGTTCGAACCCCCTTCGTGGCAGGGGCGGCAGTGGCGCTGGTGTGGGTGTTTTCTCTGGTCTCCATTACTCCGGTCTGGATGTACACTGGACTCATGGGTCTCAAGGACGGCTCGGTCGGCTGCGCCCTCCTGCTCCCAAACCCGGCCACAGATACATACTGGTTCACCCTGTACCAGTTCTTCTTGGGCTTTGCTCTTCCTTTAGTGGTCATCTGCAGTGTCTTCTTCAAGATTCTTCAAAATATGTCAGCCACAGTTGCTCCACTACCCCAGCGCAGCCTCAGGGTGCGTACAAGAAAGGTGACCCGCATGGCAGTGGCCATTTGCCTGGCCTTCTTCTTATGCTGGGCCCCTTATTATATCCTCCAGCTGGCCCACCTGGGAGTACAGCGGCCCAGCTTTGCTTTCCTGTACGTCTACAACATCGCCATCAGCCTGGGCTATGCCAACAGCTGCATCAACCCTTTCATCTACATTGTGTTGAGCGAAACATTCAAGAGGCAGTTCATTGTAGCTATTCGGCCACCCCACAGAGGCTTCAGAGTCGCCCCTGCTCAGGCTGAAGGCTTGAGTTTGAGGGTTGCGCCAGAGAGCTCTCATCCATCCCGCTCGCAGTCATCACGGGAACTGCTCCAAAACATGCTGCCCGTCACCGTGGCTGTGCACTGAGATTGACAGCTATCTGGCCACCCCGACCACTGCTAACTGCCACCCCCAGCAACGAGCCATCTGCCAGTACAGATGTCTCTCTTTTTTCTTTCCCTCCTCGGAAAGCACCCGCTGTTCACATCAACACGTGACAAGAGGAGGAATTTCTATGTCACACACACACTGCGTTAATGTACCAAGTGGTGATATTACCGGTGAAGTTTGGAGACGTGTTTATGTTTGTTGTGAGGAATTAATGTATCAACTGTAGTCGTCATATTTTTAAAGAATGAGAACGAAAAAAGGAACAATAGGCAACTTGCAGCTGACATGTGCCATTTAAAAAAAAATCTGACTTTGTTTAAGCTATTCTTGATTTATCAGTATGGTATCTGTGTAAAGGTTTGATGTAAAGCCAACTTCATCACACAGCTGCGTTGTACTTAATGTGTCTTAAATTACTACATCGTGGTAGCAGAAAAGTGCAGATTTGTCACTGTTTTGTGTTGTGCACTGTAAGTTTATCAATGTTGTGGTGGAGAAGAAAAAGCATGTGAGCACATTTAACACATTCTAAAGGTCAAGCCAGCTGCACCATTAAAGAATAGCACACACGGCTGAGGGCAGATTATGCACTAATGAGACAGTATGCAAAAAACCACTCTAGTAACACTTGGAGGATGAGCTACTCCTCTCATGCAATCACTGAGGACAGACTGCACGCCTTCACTGGCAAAGACAAAGGATTTGCAGACTTAGTACTGATCTTCTCTTTGTGTGTGCTTGAATGTCATTATTCATGCATCTCCAAATGTTATTCTGCTGTACCTTGGTGACTGTGTGACTTTTTTTTGGAGGCATTTGTCTCCACGCTGGCTTTGGAGACTCTCACTGTGAATTGGCTGTTGCCGTGTGCAGCCTGTCTTACTGTAACTGTAACTCTTACCTGCTACTGGAAAACTGTGTTTACTGTGCTTACTGTGAAAGCTCTTGTCTCACCCAGTGGGTGGGTTTGTTTTACTCT